CATAGAATATATAAAGTTAAGTTATTCATAAATATGAGGTCTGCTCCAATATTAATGTGATGAACAGGAAATTTAGAACATTATTCAATGTTTTTTAAGATTCTTACCAAAAATCGATCAAATTATGTAGAATTGACAAACTAATTGATTAATTTTTTATGGTTTACATATAATACCATTTATTAGGACATGAGCAATTGATTTGACAAGCAAAATTGTTAGAACAACACAAGGGACACGGCGACTTTGGTGTTAAAAAAATATTTGATCATAGTTGAGAGTTACAAAAAACCATAATCTAGATCTAAATCAAAATAAATAATTCAAGTCACAAACTAATTAATTTCATCTTTCGAGCACATCCTAAATTGAATATAACAGTCTCTATATATAGGGTCCTAGTGGAATCTCAAGTAAGTCAATAACAAAAATTTTCTAACTACAATTAAACAAAATTACGTTCAGTGGCATTCTATTTTAATGACATAACTTCTTATTTGTGGCATTATATTATAGTTTTAGTTGCACTTATACATTTTGTGTCGCTATAAATTTTCATTCGCTCTCCAAGCTGGCACTCAAATTTTCATTCTTGTTTTGTTCAATTTGCCTTCACCCAATATGCCTCCACAACTTTTGTACCACAGTGCTTCCAAAACTTAGTTAAATATTATTTTAAGCATGGATTGATAAAATGGAAAGTATTCTAGTGTTATACAAGTTAAAATTCTTAAGAAACGTCCCTAGAATCTTTTTAATGATATGTTTTTCGGATTTGTGAAAGAAGGTGAAGAAGAATGGAAAGTATTCTAGTGTTATACAAGTTGAAATTCTTAAGAAACGTCCCTAGAATCTTTTTAATGCTATGTTTTTCGGATTTGTGAAAGAAGGTGAAGAAGATTATACATATCTTGAGTTTTAATCGGTTCTTAAATTGTTAAATGCAGCTTGAATCCACATCCAATCCACTTGATCCAATAATCGCCATTGCTGCTCTTTATGCCCCCCCCCCCCCCCCCCCCCTCTCAATTAATTTATCCAAAACAGGAAAATGACTAGCTAAATTAACATGTTGGTCTATTGGAAATTCTAGTCATTGTCCTTTATATTTTCCATGTCAAACCAACTTTCTATAACATAGTCTTAAAAAAATTCCATGTCAAGCCACCTTTTAATAACCTTGTCTTAAAAAAATTAAAAACTATAAATAATGCACTATGGATAAATTACTTTTACAAGTTAGTCATATTATTAACTCAAGAGTAGTTTGGTAATTTTGGTCAATTTGTTACTTTTATCACCTATTCCAAGCTTTTATATTATTTCAAGTCTAAATAATATTCAAATCTCTTAATCTTCTTTATTATCGCAATATTTATTTATTTAATAATTATGACTTTTTATTATTTATATGTTTTCTTAAAAACAAAAATTTCAAATTCGACAAGATAATAGGGTGTTATGGAAAATCAGCCATAAATCGTCAGAAGCTAGCTAATCTTAGCTGCCTATAGGTAAAAGCCGTCATCAGACTCTGATTTTCTCACGGACGACTTTTCATTCGGTTATTCTTCAAAATCAATTGACCCGCCTAAGGACATGATTTTAAAGTTTCTTTCACATGACCAATTGATTTAAATTAAGCGTGCAGGACTCGAGTTTATAGGCTTCATTTTCAATAACAGATTTAAAAAAAAAAAAAAAACACGAAGGACTCAAATTTATAGGTTTGTGAGAAGTTGGAAACCTTTGGCTCTAATTTATCTTAGATGAGATTGAAATGGATAAGTATGGATGAAGGTTGAGATGATTTTAAAAAACAATAGCTCATTGACACCATGTTGTAATGATCTAAAATAGAGAACCTAAATTGTGACGTTGTGATTTTAACCATAATTTTTTTTTCATTTAATTTAACAGAATACGCAACAAAAGTTTTTATTAATTTGAATTCAAAAACAATCTACACTTTACCATCTTTCAACAAGAGCACAATTTGAATTGATTTAATATAAGAAAACCAAAATGGAAGAAAAGTAGCAACGAAAACAAATATAAGTGGTATCGTCTAAATAGAAACATACTACCCAAACATAAATGAACCAAGCTCACTAATCCATGCTCCTAAGCTACTTGTATTAACCAGGGGCACTAAGTACAAAAAGTAAATGCCAACCCTTTCTGAGTCAGTTAATAAAAGTTGCCTATAGTAAAAAAGAACCATACAGTTCCTAAACGGGTCATAAATTCAATTAATTACAAAACAACAATAAACAACATTGAGTAAAAAATACCACATACTTGAATATAGAACACATATAACAACAAATTCATCATGTATCATCAAAAGCATAACATACGAGCAAAAACAACATATATCATCCAAAGCATCACATATCTCCAAAACAATCGTATATCTCCAAAAGCATCACATATCATGAAAAGAAACACATATCACCAAAAGCATCACATATCACTAAAAGCATCGCATACCACCAAAAGCATCACATACCACCAAGTATTATGCAGCGTCGTTTAGGATTTAGTAACAATAGTTTTGTACATCCATAACACCTCTCGATCCAACGTGATGTTTGTATTCGTCCTCCTCGTTAGGAACGCAACACTCCAGTCTACAAACACTTTTGTGATAGTGTATGTGTACCAGGTGTTTGACGTGTTCGTATTTTGTAGTTTTGTATATTGTTAATTAATAATGTCGTAATGGAAAAAATGAAAAAAAAAGTACAATGCTATAATGTATATGCAATATTTTTACGATTTATTTTTAAGTGTAATAGGAAAGTACGATGTTATAATGGATAAATGAAAAAAAATAGGATGTTGTAATCATCATGACCTTAATTTGTAAACCAGAATGCTATAATGATATGTTGATAATATATTATGTACTTAGTTATATTTTCGTAAGTTTAATTATAGTACAATGCTATAATGAAAAAATGGAAAGAAAAAAAGTACAATGCTATAATGTATATGTATATGTGTATGATGTATGTTTAACTGTATTTGGAAAGTACAACGATATAATGAAAAAATGAAAAAAAAAAAGTAGGATGCTATAATATTCACGACCTTAATTTGTAAAGTAGAATGTTATAATGATATGTTGATAATATATATTGTAGTTTACTTATATTTTTGTAAGTTATCGATTTAACTTATAAGAATATATTGTTTTATTTTGTAGATGGACATGTTTCAAAAAATGTTAAAAGACCCAATATTTAGTGGGACACTTGAATAATGGTTTCGATCGTTGCTACCATGAAATGAAAACAAAGGAAACGAGGACAACGATGATGACGAGTAGCTACTTATAGGATCTATGTAACTTTTTGTTTGGGTTAGTATTTTTTACTAGTATTTTGGATACATTGCATTATGTATGGATGAGAATTTTGGACCGGATGTTTGGATTAATATTTTTATCGAATGTAGTATATATTACCAAATTCTAATGTTTCGTAACAGTTATAATTAATTTAATACTGTTTTTTTTTAATTTTAATATTAAATACTAAAAAATAGAAATACAATTAGTAGCGACGCATGGTATTAGTGACACCAGTCATTTAGCGGCGACGCACGATATTTGTGGTAATAGTCCATTAGTGGCGATCTTTGGAGCATTAGCTACGAAGCAACAACGACGACCTATTAGCAACGACGTCAACAATCCGTCGCCACTAATATTCGCTATTCTTGTAGTGATTATGAAAATTGAGGAGCGATATTTATCCAAATATGATCGGTGTGGAGGGATGGATTTTCAAAAACACCATTTTTAAAAATGATTTTCAAAATAACCCCAAAATGAAAGAGTAAAAATATACATTCAGAAAATATAAAGTCAACAACTATGAGTTGATTCAACACCAAAGCACAAGCTTGGCTCAAAAATTATTGATAGGGTGTATCAATATAACAATATTTACTCTATGTTCAACAAATGTATAAGATTTACATGATAATTTGGAAAAATGTAAACAAAAAGCTTCAATCCATCATCTAATAGTTGGAGATCTAGTACCTCGATCTTTGCAGGTATATGATAATATTATGGCTAGTAGAAAGAGATGAAGTTAAGAAGAGAGGATCTGGTTGTAATCAGGTGCCTCGATATATACTGATTCCAAGTGAGAGTTGATGCTGTCCACAGTAGCCTCAAATTCCTCTAGTCTCTTTCGTACTGTTTGGATGAATTCCATTTTGGTACTTGTCCTGTATCTGAATAGTGCAGCATCAAGGTGTTGCAACTCATTTATATTAGTATCAGCTTTTTCTTCTAGTACCACTTTACTTTTGGATATATATCTTGAGACTGCTGTCCATTTGCTTCTCGATCTTGTCTTCGAAAGTGGAATAGCCAAGAATTTCAACAACAACTGCACAATAACAGCGGTGAATGCTTTAACTTCTCTGAACACTTGGATCATAGATATGAGATGGTTGTTTTCAAAATCTACCAAGCAAGAGTGGCCAATCATGTCATCCAATTGATTCAGACTAGCTACCGACGCTTCTAGTGTCTCTTCTCAGTTTCTTTCGTAAGGCATTGTTATTGTCAATGATGCTGTCGATGCTGGGACCACCATTTCTCCTTAGATCACACCCAAGATCCCTCACATGTTCTTTTGTCTGCAACATGAGATCAGATATATTGCTGAAAATATCCAAGAAAATAACAGATACATCTGTTGGAAATCAGGCGCTTTATATTCACTTCACTGCAGCAACAGAATAAGAAGAAGGAGAGTTGTTTATCGACTCAAAACGGCTGCATTAATATTCAGAAAACTAAAGGTTTTTTATAGCCTACAAAACCTAATTGAACTAACCAAAAACAAGCACACGTTTTCCTCTTTTCCAGCACTAAACCTATCATTCTAAAAGCCCCAAAAGACTTGGTCCACATGACCCATTCAACCCATGAACTACTATCTTTTATTCAATTACTAAATAAAACTAATACTAAACTAAAAATAACATCTTATGTCAAGATTAAACCCAACAACATCAAGTAACTCATCCGTCCATCTCATGTTCTGATTGCTGGAATCTAACGAAGTTTTTGAAGGACATGTTTTGATAAGTTCATCCAAACATTCATACAACTCCGCCAGTTGAAACAAGCCGCTGCAAATGATTTCTGCCGATGGATTCGATAACGATGATGTGGACTCCCATGTTTTGACTTTATTCAGCACTTTCTCGATTCTATAGGTGCTTGGATGTGATCTGCATGGTAAAGTAATCGATCTGAAATCTTTCATGGGTGTTGGTTTTGGAGAAAACCCCATGAATATTTGGTCTAAATTTTTGTTGAGACCTGAAAGTTCAAGTGGGAAAATACAATTATCGGTGATACCAACTACCAGCGTTACAATTTGGAATTTATACGAAGTTAAAACCCCCATAATGATTGGATGAAAGCACTCGATCCCAAATCATGGATTTGATTGGAAAATACTTTAGGTGCATGAAAATGTGGGACAACAGACGTGGAGCCATTGCTATCTCTCGGTTTTCATCCTGTTGCAATTTCTGGGTGATACGTGGCGACCCACTATTTCTTAGATTTGAATCAGAACCAGGTGGATGCCTGTGAGATGAGACAGTTTAATGCATCTTGGGAAAAGGCGAAATATGGATATCCATGTGAGAGCTAATTAAGATTGGATGAAACACTTTTCTAATCTCGAACAAAAAGAAACATGAAAATTGAACGTGCATGATTGTTTTCTATGAGAAAAACTAACGAGCATGGAAAGTATGGGCATCTATCAACTTTGAATATTCTAGAGATTGCCAAAACTCTACGCACCATGTTTAGCGGAAGGGGTTACGTGGAGTGACTATGAAAATCCACGAAATGGTGTTCCAGCTATGGTTTTGTTTCCATGTACTTATCTGTTGCATTACTAACTTTTTGTAAAATGACATACACGTGACAGAGATCAACCGAGAACCAACGACCAGCATATATCATGCATTCTATTTATTTCTAACACTAACTTTTTGTAAAATAACGAGAAATTATAAATCGAAAATTTGTCATCTAAATATATTATATTATATATAAGATAACCAGAATTTATTTCCAACCTAAGCATATGCCTTCCACGGTTAATTTTAGCCACAGGTCAGACCTAAGAGAAATTAACATGTTTCAATCTGGAAAATTTATCCGACCCTAGTTAGACATGAACCAATAGGTGGCAATCGTCGACCCAACCCGACACACGACACGAACTCACCCCAAAAATAAACGGTTTTAGGTTCAGATTTTCGACCTACCAACTTGCCAATTTCATGGGTCAGGTTCGGCTTATGTGTTTGGGTTTACGGGTCAACCCAACAATAATATATAGGATTAAAAAAAAATTAATATTTAATATTCAATTTGTATTTTTTTGGTGCGTGTCTGAGAATGTACTAGAATCGAGAATCCCAAATCAATACCCTTCATAGTTTGTATTGGAAATAAATCACCTATGTAAATTAGTTTATTTGTTTTTTATATTTACTTATTAGATTAGATATCTTGTATATCTCCTTGTAATATTGTATATAAGCGTGATTAGTACATCAGTAAAATTATTGGGAACATTTATCCCATCTTACATGGTATCAGCCTAAGAATCCCGATCCCTAAACACCCCTAATTTCTTCTTGCCGCTTCTGCCTCTCGCTACTTTCTCTGCCTTTCGTTATGTCTTCTTCTTCAGAGAATTCGTTCTCTCTCAACACCCTTGTTCATATGCTCACTATCAAATTGACATCAAACAATTACCTTTTGTGGCGAAATCAAATCGCCCCTCTTCTCAATCATCAGAAGTGGATGTCTCATGTCGATGGCTCTTCTGCCATTCCGCCACTTAAAACCCTTGCTGACGGCAAAAAAATCTCGAATCCAGCCCATGAAGCTTGGATCGATGTTGACCAGAAGGTGCTCTTAATCTTTCAATCAGTTTGTACTTTTCCTTTCCTTCGTCTTGTCCTTACTGACTCGCCCATTTAATTTCGTCGGATACTCCACGTTGGTGCAGACGAACACAATGGACGTCAACAACATTGCTTCATGCTCGGTGTATAAATACTAATTTGTAATTGATTATTGAGATGTGTATAATCCATATAAATTTAATATATGAAAGGTAAACCCAAAACTGATCTGAAACTGACTGACGGACCTATATAATTAAACAGGTTATGTTGGTTGTGTACGTGTTGATGTTTCCAACCCGCAAACCTTTTACCCGCCAACCATCCAATCTGTGACCCTAAACCCGAACCAGAACCAATTGCCAACCGTACTAAACATGTGGCAAGGATGAAACACTAATCATGCAATAGAAAGTTGTTAGCTATCCAGAGTCTCCACAAGCTCTAATTTCATTGATTTGCATTATTAGTAAAACATGGCAATATATATGACTTGGATGTGGATCTTAGAATTTATAAAGTTAAGTTATTCATAAATACGAGGTCTGATCCAAGATTAACGTGATGAACAGTAAGTTTAGAACATCAATTCTTCCCAAAAATCGATCGAACTACCTAGAATTGTCAAACCATGAACTGTTCCATAAAATAATTAATTATATTTTTATGGTTTAGATATAATACCACTTGAGATCGAGGGTTCAAGTCTCGTGAAGAACATAGGTGTAGATTTAAGAGTAGTCTAGGAGTATATTAGATTTGCCCTTCCAATATATATATATATATATATATATATATATATATATATATATATATATATATATATATATATAATAATTTTAAACATAGCCTATGGTTCCACGGGTTATAACCTAGTATATATATATATATATATATATATATATATATATATATATAATACCACTTGTTAGAATATGAACACTTGATTTGACATGCAAAATTATAAGAACAACACAATTGACACCACGATTTTGATGTTAAAAAATATATTTGATCATAGTCAAAAGTTACAAAAAACCATAATCTAGATCTAAATCTAAATAAATAATTCACCTCACAAACTAAATAATTACCTCTTTCCGGCACATCCTAAATTGAATATAACAATCTCTATATATAGGGTCGTAGTGGGATCTCAAATAAGTCAATAAGATACATACTCTCACTACAAACAAAATTACATTTATTGGCATACTATTTTAACGACTTAATTTTTTTGTGACACTATATTATATTTTTAGTGGCAGTTGTACATTTTGTGTCACTATAAATTTTCATTCGCTCTCTAAGCCTGCACTCAAATTTTCATTCCTGTTTTGTTCAGTTTCCCTCAAACTTTACCTAATATACCTCCACAACTCTTGTACGACGATGCTTCCAAAACTTAATTAAATATTATTTTAAGCATGGATTGATAAAATGGAAAGTATTCTAGTGTTATACAATTAAGCTAAAACTCTTAAGAAATATCCTTGAGGTTTTTTCGGATTTGTGAATGAAGGTGAAGAAGATTATACATATCTTGAGTTTTACCCAATTCCTAAATTATTAAATGCACCTTGAATCCACATCTAATCCACTTGATCCCATAATCTCTCTCTCTCTCTCTCTCTCTCTCTCTCTCTCTCTCTCTCTCTCTCTCTCTCTCTCTCTCTCTCTCTCTCTCTCTCTCTCTCTCTCTCTCTCTCTCTCTCCCAATTAATTTATCTAAATAAAGGAGAAATGACTAGCCAAATTAAGATGTTGGTCTATTGGTAATTCTAGTCCCTCTCGTTTATAATTTCCATGTCATGCCACCTTTCAATAACCTAGTCTTAAAAAATTAAAAACTATAAATAATGCCCTATGGATAAATTACTTTTACAAGTTAGTAATATTACTAACTCAAGACTAGTACGGTATGTTTGGCCAAGTTGTTATTTTTATCACCTACTCCAAGCTTTAATATTATTTCAAGTCTAAATAATATTCAAATCTATTAATCTTTTTTATTATCGCAATATTTATTTAATTAAAAATTGTGACTTTTTATTATTTATTTGTTTTGGGTTATTGTCACTGTAACCCAATCAACTCTTAGGTTTGGGTTAATGACTTAGAAAGGTAACAAACTTTTGTCTTTGTCTACATTTGAGTAACCATGTTTTTTTCGTTCACATTTGACCATTGAACTTGTTTTACCTGTTCAAAATAGGGTAATATGACCGGTAATTACGGTAATATTACCCTATTATGAACATGTCAAACAAGTTTACTGGTCAAATATGTACGAAAAAAACATGGTTACCTAAATACGGACAAAAACCAAAGTTTATTACCCGTTTTGGTGATACCGGACAAGAACCGTCTTAGGGACTGTGTGCCGTCAATGAACAATTAGGCTAGGCTTGGTCTAACCCAGTTTAGTCCCGGCTAGTCATGGGCTAAGCTGTCTTGCTCGGTCTTGTAAACACATACAACATAACCCTTAAGCGTATACAACCTAACCCCTAACTAGCTGGGCCTAAACTGGGTTGGCCCAAGACTTAACCATCTCCTCATACACAAGACCAGACAACCCAATTTCATTTCACATCAATGGATCTTATGACTACTTGAAATTAACATAAAGAACCCAATATTACCAAAATAGGTAAGGAACTTTGGTTTTTGTCCAAATTTAGGTAACCATGTTTTTTTCGTACACATTTGACCAGTAAACTTGTTTGACCTATTCATAATAGGGTAATGTTACCGCTAATTACCGGTCATATTATCCTATTTTGAACAGGTCAAACAAGTTCAATAGTCAAATGTGAACGAAAAAAACATGGTTACCTAAATGTGGACAAATACCAAAGTTCGTTACCTTTCTAGGTCATTAACTTATTAGGTTTTGGTTTAAAAGGTTCCTTATGTTGTTTTTTTAGTAGTTTAGGTCACAAAACTATTAAAATACGTATCAAAAAACTCAAAGACGATGGGGTAAACCGGTAACCATGCTGATTTGGCAATCTAGATGGGATCTTGTTCATAATAACATGTACACATGAGTGCTATCACTACAAGGAAAAAGGCCATTACCGGCGACAAAAGTCGCCTGTAAAAGTCCAAAATGTCGCCGGTAATACTAATAGCGGCGACGCATCTCCGGTACTGAGTCGCCGCTACTGCTTCGTCGCTATTGATCACTTTGTCGCCGCTAATGAGAAACGTCGCCGCTATTGACCTTGTCGCCGCTAATGAGTCGTGTCGCCGCTAATAACTATGTCGCCGGTAATGAGTCTTGTCGCCGGTAATAGTGTCGCTGGTAATAACAGTTTTCATTTTTTTAATTTTTTTTAATTAATGATTT